TTTTAAGTGAAGATTTAGTCACAAAAGCCAAAGCAAATGCAAATTACTTTCAACATAGATTGCTGGCAGTTTGTTTTACGCTCGAAATCAGGCAGGGATCATGAGGCGAGATATGTCTGGCTAGAAGGGATTGGGACGATCCTGAGAGATAAGACAAGCTGCCAACAGTCTCCTTTCGACGGCACTGAAGTGAAAACCGCGCTATTTACCGGTAAAAGATGTGTAGACTACGTAATATTCGTAATAGTCGCCAACAGGATGCGATTTCTTAACTGTTTAATCTGAAATTGGATGTACATTATTGAATGTAGTCTGAGAAAGGATAAATAAAGTCAAACATATCATTCACACTGAGCTAAGACCAAGAATCTAAAACCAATTCACCACGCCCCGCCCAATAGACAACAACAGACCAAACAGTCCAGTGTTAGAAATTACAGTGTTATAGTTAAGGGTAAAAACAAAAATGATAGGAGTGCTGACTACCCGAAATAACCTAAGAGTTAAAAATGCCAGGAAGCCAGTAAAAGAAACGATATTTTGCATGTTTAGGTCAGGGACACAAAACAAACAAACATAAACACCCTAAAAATAGAAAGAAACAAAGTTAAGCTCACTAACAGTAGACTAAAGTTCTAACATTGCAAAACAGTACTTATTTTTATCCAGGAAGAGCGATGTACGGACCGTTTACCTAGGGATTTTGTAATCAACTAGATTTAAACTTGTCTCTTTGCCATGCTCTTTTCCTCGTGCATGTACAAAGTGCCTTTTATCGTTTGTTTTATCTTCCAGTTTGAATCTGATAAGAGCAGTGGGTGTATATTGCTCTTGTATTCCGTGATATTGTCAAGGTCAATTCAAACGTAAGTACAACAACCACATTATCAACTGAGTAGGCTTAGTTCTTGCCGTCGACTTGTCATGTTCTTCCTAAGCGTAGGACAATTTGTCAGTAAACAGTTTGACTTGACAGTGTGCAAAGAAAGTCCGGGTTCTCCGGTTTTCCTCCCTCCACAAAAACCAACATCTCAAAATTACAATTCAACCAGGATAGGGAACCCGCATGAAAACCAGCTGAGGCTGATATGCTTCCTGTCTATTATATTTCGTTATTTGCTCGAAGGGAAATCCCGAAAGTTTGTTTTCCGTGCACCCTGCTTGACGCTATGAAGATGAATCGAACACACCCGCTCAGTCGAGCTCAGGTTGTCGAAACGTCAATTACCTACAACCTCAGGTGTCCCAAGCTCATATCCATGAAGATCGTGATACTAATGTTGTTGTTGTTGATAGAAGCACTTTACTGCAATCAGTCCATCTGCTTTAAACGATAAAGAAAGAACAGTCAGATAGCACTGACGCAATGTGATGGTGTTTTCTTGCAGGGTGATATCAGACATGGACGAGCCAACTAACATGCTGATGGGAGCCCATGGCTACTGCACGCAGGTAAGCTTTTCATTTCCTTGAAAGTTCCACTGATGGAAGTCCCTTTCACTTTGTACCCCTTGAATGCGTTGTATTGTCGCCTCTCCCCATGTCCTGAATCAATTCAACAACTTGTTCTATAAATATAAGTCGATAACGCTAATCAACGGATTAATTCAATACTATCTAATGGAAAAGTGATAACAAAACCAAATACATGTACCATTTTATTGATTTTCTACAATCGTGGACAAAAGTCCTTGGGACACTTATGTAATGTAACAGATTATCTGTGTTTTAGAACTGAAGTATGAAGAAAACGCTGCCATATCCTTTATAAACGGGTTGCTGTCCCCTCTCCCCACCCAACACAATGTTGACAATCAGTTGAAATTGCACGTACTAGTTTTCAACATTTTATGGGGGGTGGGGGGCGAGGTTAGGCAGGTGAAGTTGTAAAGTGAAGATTTAGTCACAAAAGCCAAAGCAAATGCAAATTACTTTCAACATAGATTGCTGGCAGTTTGTTTTACGCTCGAAATCAGGCAGGGATCATGAGGCGAGATATGTCTGGCTAGAAGGGATTGGGACGATCCTGAGAGATAAGACAAGCTGCCAACAGTCTCCTTTCGACGGCACTGAAGTGAAAACCGCGCTATTTACCGGTAAAAGATGTGTAGACTACGTAATATTCGTAATAGTCGCCAACAGGATGCGATTTCTTAACTGTTTAATCTGAAATTGGATGTACATTATTGAATGTAGTCTGAGAAAGGATAAATAAAGTCAAACATATCATTCACACTGAGCTAAGACCAAGAATCTAAAACCAATTCACCACGCCCCGCCCAATAGACAACAACAGACCAAACAGTCCAGTGTTAGAAATTACAGTGTTATAGTTAAGGGTAAAAACAAAAATGATAGGAGTGCTGACTACCCGAAATAACCTAAGAGTTAAAAATGCCAGGAAGCCAGTAAAAGAAACGATATTTTGCATGTTTAGGTCAGGGACACAAAACAAACAAACATAAACACCCTAAAAATAGAAAGAAACAAAGTTAAGCTCACTAACAGTAGACTAAAGTTCTAACATTGCAAAACAGTACTTATTTTTATCCAGGAAGAGCGATGTACGGACCGTTTACCTAGGGATTTTGTAATCAACTAGATTTAAACTTGTCTCTTTGCCATGCTCTTTTCCTCGTGCATGTACAAAGTGCCTTTTATCGTTTGTTTTATCTTCCAGTTTGAATCTGATAAGAGCAGTGGGTGTATATTGCTCTTGTATTCCGTGATATTGTCAAGGTCAATTCAAACGTAAGTACAACAACCACATTATCAACTGAGTAGGCTTAGTTCTTGCCGTCGACTTGTCATGTTCTTCCTAAGCGTAGGACAATTTGTCAGTAAACAGTTTGACTTGACAGTGTGCAAAGAAAGTCCGGGTTCTCCGGTTTTCCTCCCTCCACAAAAACCAACATCTCAAAATTACAATTCAACCAGGATAGGGAACCCGCATGAAAACCAGCTGAGGCTGATATGCTTCCTGTCTATTATATTTCGTTATTTGCTCGAAGGGAAATCCCGAAAGTTTGTTTTCCGTGCACCCTGCTTGACGCTATGAAGATGAATCGAACACACCCGCTCAGTCGAGCTCAGGTTGTCGAAACGTCAATTACCTACAACCTCAGGTGTCCCAAGCTCATATCCATGAAGATCGTGATACTAATGTTGTTGTTGTTGATAGAAGCACTTTACTGCAATCAGTCCATCTGCTTTAAACGATAAAGAAAGAACAGTCAGATAGCACTGACGCAATGTGATGGTGTTTTCTTGCAGGGTGATATCAGACATGGACGAGCCAACTAACACGCTGATGGGAGCCCATGGCTACTGCACGCAGGTAAGCTTTTCATTTCCTTGAAAGTTCCACTGATAGAAGTCCCTTCCACTTTTTACCCCTTGAATACGTTGTATTGTCCCCTACTCTCCCCATGTCCTGAATCAATCCAACAACTTGTTCTACAAATATAAGTCGTAACGCTAATCAACGGATTAATTCAATACTATCTAATGGAAAAGTGATAACAAAACTAAACCCATGTACCATTTTATTGATTTTCTAGGACGAAGAATTAATGTGAAGCTTGATTAATTCTACTATTTACGTTAACAACAACAGCAAGCTTTATTTTCCCCATTTGGTCTACATATAGCGAGATATTTGTGTGAAACTACCTGAAATAACTACAGAGTTAAAGAAGGCAGGCAGCCAGTTTAACAAATATATTAATACAAATTTGTGTATGTGTATCCTACACATACACAAACACATAACACATAACGACAGAGAACACACACTGAGCGCTAAATAAATGCTATACTTGAATGGTAATACTATGGAGAATCAATTTATACTAGAATACTAGTACTATATCTCAAGAATCAAGCAGTTTTGTCCTAAAGAGACCGGCTTGGAGTGCGATTATGATTTTATCAGATCCTAAAAGCCGTTCTTGGTCAAAGTTAATCGGCCTACTCTTGGAAACATTTTCCAACCTTTCAATCTTACCTGATTTTACATGTTATTTTTTTCTTAGGAAATGGTCAATTTAGTTATTACTGGAAAGGCGGTCTCCAATGCGTTTGACAACACAATGGAAATTGATACAGGAGGAGCGAAAAAGGTATTACTTATAGTCACACTGTTTTTCTTTTATAGCTATTGTAAATGGAGCTTCGTAAAACCAAAACCAAAGTTATCACTCTGGCCAATCACAAAGGACATAGACAATCCAGTGAACCAATCAAAACTCACAGCAAATATATGTGGCCGACGCGAAAGCGCGGGAAAACGTACGAGTAAGTCGTGATGGATTTTGGTCTTGGTGCGAGTTTTTTTGAGCCAATCGCGCAGCGTATTGAAACAAAACCAAAGAAAACGCGTTTTACTTCCGGCTGGAAATTGAAAACTGCTCTAACATCTTTGCTGTATCTTGCAGTTTACAGTCGTATATGACAGAGAGTTTAACCATGACGTTTACGGCAGATTGTCGGCAAACGGCAAAGATTTCCTCTGATTTTTTATTCTTTTCTTGTAATCCTTAAATAAATCACACAAAAATAGAAAAATGTCTTCAGCTATTCACTGCAAATACAGATATGTTCACTCTACTGTACAGACAGCTGAAGACAGACGGCACAAAAGTTTCATTTTTGCCGTTTGCCGTTACGTCATGCTTAATCTCTCTAATAGCTCTTCATGCATGGCACAAGGGTTTGATGGTCTCATGGTCTAATGGGTTGTTGTGCGCTGAACTCCGGATTGACTGGTCTGGGTTCGAGGCCCAACCGGCCTCGTTGTTGAGCAAGAAACTTTACACTCACAGTACCTTTGTCAAACTGCTAGCACAACCTGAAATGAATGCTGGGGCTAACCTCTGTTAGGTACTGGTAACTCTCTTTCGCTATGTACTGAAACAGAATTCAGCTTCACAGCATCCCTTCTCTCAGACTAGGCATTGTCTTCGATGCTAAAAACCAAGAATATTATTTTTTTCTTTTACATAGACATGTCGAAAGCTTGATCAGTTTTATTATCGCACACTATTTTCAGAAAAACAGCTTAACGTAAGATGGTTTACAATGATATAGGAAAAATAAATACAGATAGAAATTAACTACAAGAAACAATATTTAATTGTGTACAGTGACCAAAGTAGCCAATGAGCTTTCGAGTTGGTCACTGTCATGTAGATATAAGTTGGCGTTGGCCGCATGCTAAGTTAATTTAAATTAATATTTACATTAAAGACGATATTATTATCATAAAAGAAGAAAGACATACATAAATGCAGCTAAAATAAAGGAAAACAATGTCCTGAATATTGTACAGCAATATCTTACATAACTAACAGTTAAACTATGGTCAGTTTTGAGTGGTCAATAAGAATCTTTTATACCGCTTTTTGAAGAGCATGTATGGAAAACGTTTAAGTTCTGGTGGGACAGATTCCCAGATTTTTATTGCAGAGAATTGAAATGTAGATATACCATAATTGGTGCGTATTGATGGCTTAAAGAAGTGTGCTGTGACAATCAGTTGCAGCTATGATTAACAGATTAAATAACTACACACAGGATGGGTTGCAAAACTCAACTTCCAGGTCAGGTTGTTCAATGAACTTAGTGCAGTAATTATAATCGCATCAAGTTGTCTGTAAGTACTGAGAAACCAAACAAAGCTTTACAATCTCGAGCAATAAATTATTGAAGTGTGACACTTTTATGTACAGTGTATAAATATATTTCCATTAGTATTGGGAAGCTGCATCCATCATGAATTAATTTGTTCCCATGTAGTTGTTTAAAGCACTTCTCACACATGAATCTGTCTTAACAATGGTCTCCGTGTTCTACAACAATTTATACACATGGATCGTACACTCAGTGAGATATTGTTTATAATCGTATCTATAACAAAATTCTCGATCATGATTGGTTCTCCGCGCGCCTATTTGTCACGTAATCGGCGCGCGATCATGTGGGTGTCCAATCCTCCGTAGGAAAAAAGATGGCGATTGGTACATTTACCCATAGTTCTTAGCGCACGAAAACCTTGCCAACGTTCATAAAAACGTACAGAAGAGTTACAAAATCTTCAAACCTAGCATAAACAATGTCCTTCGTACAGGGACAAATATTGTAAAAAATTGGCTTTCTTTGTACCTTACAGGCTGTGTTAGGTTCGCAAGGTATCGTGGTAAAATGTACAGCCGCCATCTTTTTTCCTACGGTGGATTACAGGTATTCAAGTGGTCAATATTTTTGCATTTTAGTTTGCAACTTTTTCGCCGCAAAACATTACCGGTCTAGATGTCGGTCTGGATGGGAAAATCTACACCGCTTTCAATATCGATTCCAGCCAATCAAATTCGTGAATTCGGTAGTTCCCAGTCCTTGTGAGACACAGCCATATAATAAATATATAATATAAAATATTTGCATGCAGAGNACGTTTAAGTTCTGGTGGGACAGATTCCCAGATTTTTATTGCGGAGAATTGAAATGTAGATACACCATAATTAGTGCGTACTGATCGCTTAAAGAAGTTTTGATTTGCTCCATACCTGGTATTATATATGAATGAGTCTCTGATGCAGGTGTGAGAATACTCAACAGTACAGCTGGGGTGTTACTTTTATCATTCTTAAGTTTATGTGTAAAAAGTGATACTTTTAGTCTGTGAAATGTAATAGACGTTTTATTTCTAGAAGAATGATATAGACTGCGTTTTGCTTCAGCAGAATCTCAATTTGTGTACATTTTTCCTCAGAATGTCTTTAAAGGACTAGACAAACAAAGTGACGTTGGGCTTCTGTCGTTATTTGAGCACTACAAATCTTGCGAGGTTAGCACAGTTAAGCTAATGGGGTGTTACGTCATTTTGTTGTGGCGGCGCGGTGGCCTCATGGTTAGTGCGCTCGTCTCCGGATCGAGCCCTGACCGGGGACATTGTGTTGTGTTCTTGGGCAGGAAACTTTACTCTCACAGTGCCTCTCTCAGCCCAGGTGTATAAATGGGTACCGGCGAATTTAATGTTGGGGGTAGCCCTGCGATGGACTAGCATCTCATCCAAGGGAGAGAAGAAATATTCCTAGTAGCTTCATGCCACTGAAACCGCAACCTGCGAACAGGCTCCCGGTGAGCCCGAACGCTCCGCACCGATGGCTTCGCTCTCCGAATTCTTCTGTTTCGCGCTTGCCAAAATTTTTTTCCGTCCTCGCCGGGAGCCTGTTCGCAGGCTACTGAAACCGGAGAAAAGCCCCGGCCTGGTGTGCCACTTGGCTCATAGGCAGACTTTACCTTTTAAGTCATTTTGTTACACGGGAAGATTTGATTTTCTTTTATTTTGTGATAAAACAGAAACTCGCAATGGATAGGATAGGTGATACCTAACGTAGAGGGTTGTTCATGGTTTGATCAGCTTTTCTTTAATTTTTCTTCTCGGTCAGGTTGGCGTTAACTTCAAGACGCCCAAGTATCCTATCTGGGTCATCTGTAGTGAAAGCCACTTCAGCGTGTTGTTTTCTGTGGACAGAAATCTCTTGGATGATTGGTGAGTTGCTCAACATATTGTGCTTTTTGGTAACCTTACTATCTCTAACAAGGGAATAGTAATCGCCTGCAGTTTTGAGCCACCTTAAGGTGGCTCCATAGGGTAATCATTACTGGCGTTGCGCGCGCGAGTGTTATGTTTTGAATGCTGTTTTGCATTCGCTTTCACACCTAGTCCTCTCAAACTTATTACATGTAATAAGCAATGATTAAATAGTGTTTTACTATCACCTCTGTTAAAATTTTGGGATTTAGTCTTAAATTATAAATGCCAAAACAAATGTGTTTTTTACTGTTTTTATGGCTTTATTTGTGATTTTCATGAATTTCCTTCGGTGAAATCTTCCAAAATTGTTACATCACATCGCTTYCAGCGGGATACGAATTTTAAACACGAAAAAAGTAGGGTTTGTAAAGGCAGTTTTTTCGATATTTTCAAATTTATGTCTTTTACCGCTGCAAAAAACCTGGTCTTATAGATTTCCCTGAAAAACAAGCTCCGACTAAAGTAGAATATTTACTATCAATCTGCCAAATTTTACGGAATTTCACCGAAGGAAAAGCGAGAAAATTCACTGTCAGTTTTGCTTTTTGTGCTCATGTTGACGTAACAAAATATCGAAAAACACTGACGTTTTCCTTTAAGTGCGCGATTACTTCCTCAGCGCTCGTGCGATCGTAAAAGTCTAGAGAGCCACCTTAATGCTAAGCCAGTGGTATTAAATTGCGTCAGTTTGTCGATCTGTGTGCTTTGTTGTCTCTACTCGCGGCGTGTAAAATCTATGTCATAAAGCAAATGAAGAAGCCTAAGCCGTTTATTACACTGTGATAAAACACTCGAGAAATGTAGAAAACACTCGCCTCCAGTTCGTGTTTTCTACATTTCCTTCTTGTTCATAGATAGCCGTCGCGTTTTATCAAAGTGTAATTTACGGCTTAGGCTTCTTTCTTTGTTAAGTAAACCGCTCTTATGAGCTCCAGCTGAGTAGTGGCTAAGTAGTGAAGTTGAAGTAATGACTAATTAACAAATAAAGAAGTCTAAGTCGTGTATTACACTATGATAAAACACGACAGCCTTTGAGAACACGACGGAAATGTAGAAAACACGAGCCGCAGGCGAGTGTTTCTACATTTCTCGAGTGTCCTCAAATGTCCGGAGTGTTTTAACTATCACAGTGTAATTCACGGCTTAGACTTCTTCATTTGCTTTATGATATAGAGTTAATGTGGTGAAAAACAATAAAACATCCTTTTTTCTATGTTTTATACTCTGATAAAACATGGGTTTTTGACTAATCAGAGCGCGCGCAGGGTCCTATCTATATTATAATGCATTTTTCTTTGGTTCTTGCCTCTTTTAGGAAGCTTGAGAAGAAGTTTGATCTTTATTATTATGATGGTTTGGCTCGGCAAGATGAGGAGATAAGATTAACAGTAGGTGAGGAATTACAACGTTGCCGTTAATTACAATTTATTGTCGAAATCGTGCCGCTAAAACCTAGTTTGCATGCGACGCTCTTCATACCTGTACAGGTTTGACGGTATTAGAATTAGAAAACGAGTAAAGAAAAACGTTTCCAAACGCCGCCCGGACGCTATATCCACAGAGCCTGGGAGAGAGTAGACGGTGATTGGTTTTATCAATGGCAGAATGTATTGTTCCTCTCTGGTACTTTATCTCTTGGGTGTTTTTGTATCTCTAAACTATTATTTTCAGGTTCTCATCAATTTAAAAGTACTTTTTTTCTGGGTCAAAATAACTCAAAATACCGTAAGTGATCTCCTTAAGGGAGGTTAGGTGTTGGCTTACTTGAGGTACCTGGAAGCCCGGCCTTGAAAGGCTTAACTGTGGTGTATTGAATGGTTCACATGACGTCACGGCAGCCATATTGGTGTCTTAGAACAATCAAGCGACGGCCATGTTGGTGTACCAAACCAACCCTGTGGGAGTTGAACTCTTTTCTAATGTAAACACTTTCTTTTTTTTCAATAAATTTGCATGGCTCTTGGCCACGTGAGTGAAAACGCCCTCTACGCTGTGTTCACTGTCACGGCCGTCTTTGACATTGTTATCGTAGTACTTAAATAACTTTTTTTACGTTATAAATACATCTCTTTTTTTTAACCAGATACAACGAGAGAGTGTCCGGATTACAAAGACATCGACCTTGTTCCTCCATTGGAACATTGCATAAGAACAAGGTTTGTATTGTGAGAAATCTCCTTCACATACGCTCTACTGGCTGGTCACGCAAAATTTCCTAATGAACGATTGTGTCACGAGAGAAAATAACGCATGCACACAAGCTCTCTTAGGGGTAGGGGCTGAGGAACTTGTTCCCAGGTTATGAGATACTCAACGAGTTTTCGATTGACCAATCATAAAACGAGCATATCAGCTTGACGTCATCAGCATTGACATGTTAGCAACATCGCTGCCTAAAACCACGGGTTCAATTTCTTTTTGGCTTTGCAGTTAATTTAGTTTGTTTATCAAAAAGTACCCACTGAACTCCGGTGTAATATCGTTGTTTGACGAGATTCTTCCTCCGCAGATGGAAAAACGCTGTCATAGACTGGAATGGTACGGATCCAATCTTGTGATATTCATTTGAACGGAATGGAATCGATCCCAAAGTTCTTCTCAGAATGGAAACGTTAGAGAATTTCCCTGTCTGCAAAAGCTGCATCAAAACCGTTCGCATTCAAGCAAATCCAGTCCGCTCTTTCAGTGGAGTATCAAATCTGCTCAGAAACTGAGAACAGCGCGTGATCTGAATGAACTTTTAACTCGACAAGGTTGTGCATTTGAAAATGGTATTGCTATTAATATTTGTAAATAAACAAAAACCGTTGTGTAACTTAAGCTGTTTCCCCTGTTGCGTCGCAGACAGGTTTTTGAACTGATCTAAGGTGCCACGACGTCTACAGTTAACTCTTTCTTCACGCACAACCGCTTTCCGGACGAGGTACATTAATGCTAGACAATCTTCTCAAAATAAGTTTCCCGGCGGTATAGCTCCTTGATTTAACTGAGTTTTGCCACTGCATTTGGCGCCTCTTGACCCAAACTCCGAGGTACTCTCTCTTCGCCCCAGGGAACGGGAAAGACAGGATCCTAGAAATGTTGTTGCTCCTGACCCTGTGTTCCCTGTCCACGTTTTGATATCTTTGAGATATCTACAGTTTTCCTTTGATTTTTGTTTCTTCCCATCCTTTCAATACTAGAGGAACCAACATTTCAGTTCGATCTGTTTTGTGAGGGCCACACCTTTGTTAGTCCTAAGACTGATAAATGTCAACCTCGTTAGACGAAGTCGATTTATTTACTTCAACCATGAAAAGCGTCGTTGGAATTAACAGCAGGGCTTTATAATTGGAAAAATATTTTAATTCCTTTCGAAAGAGGTGGAATTAAATATTAGCCCCTGGAAGTTGGGAGGCGGGACTTACTATGAAAGGTTTGCGCTGGCAAGATTTTAGCGGGGCTCATTTACATTATCGGACTTTTACGGTTACCCGTACCGTGTGACCCATACCGTCTATTGTGGGGAGGGGGGGGGGGG